CATGTGGGGCTGGCGGAGAACCTTAATATTTATGCCATGCTCTATATATATATATATATATATGTATATGTATATTGAATTATGTGTTCTTGTCCTGTATGAAACTGCACCATACTGTACTCTACGGTACCTTTTTGTAGTATGTTGTGTAATACGGTTGATGGACAAAATCCTGCATGACCTTATATACCTAAACTATGGGATTCATGGTACTATACTATATTTGGGTCATGCAGAATTTTGTCCATCAACAGTAGGGGGCCATCTGGGCCAAGCTTCGTGTCTCGAATCTGGGAGTGCGCGTTCTGCGCCGAAGCTCTCAAGATCCCTTGCACCCTAAACTAGGCTGGTTTTGGGGGGACATTTTGTATTTTCCTTAGAATTTGTTGGAGTACTGTACACCTTTTTGTTGTCTAGGCTGGTTTTTGGGACATTTGTTATTTTCCAATTTGGGTTTATAAGGGGCCTTCATATAAATATTTTTCAGAGGGTTTAAAGGCCACCCCAGTAAGCCCAAGCTTAACCTGAACTCTGGCTTGCCTGTGGATTCCGGCACCGGGTTGGTAAAGTTCGACGAACCCCGCATACTGCAGGAGACTTCATGTTATTCTACGGTTGGTGGCGTCTTAGGGTCTAGAACTCCACGTTTTTCATTTTGCACCCAAGCACCATGATTTGTTCAGGGTTTGTGCGGGGCTGAGGCCCGAACTCGATTTAGGAGTTGAGCTGGGCGCAGACTTTGCTCGGACGTTTCGAAGCAACGTTTTGAAGCCCGAAAAACAGGCTTGCGAACCTCCTACCCCCGGAGTGTCCGAATGTGAGCGCCGCAACCCTAATTTTACTGTCGGGGGTTCGATGGGTTGCTTGCACTTGCGGCGCTCTGCACCAAGCCAGTAAACTTTGCACGGTTTAGGGTTTAGGGTAAAGCCTTGGAGCTGCAACCTGCCAGCTGGGAACGCTGGGGTTTATGATGGTGAGTTGGGGATTAGGGGTCATCGGGGCTCAAACACAAGACCCTGTTCTTTTATGTAAGCGAATGTGTGTATGCGTATGTATCTGTCCACAGTATTTGTATATGTACAGAAGTACACACATATACATACATGTCATGTGTATATATATATATATATATATATATGTGTGTGTGTGTGTTTGTGTGTATGTACACACACAAACATTTGTTGTTGCTGTGGTCCTGTGACGGTTTATGCAATATGTAGATACAGACCTCTTGTACGTGTGTGCACATATATATATATATATATACATGTGTAGAATATATGTACGCATTTGTGTACATATACACACATAGGTAGGGACCCCCACATTTGAAGCCTCAAGTTAATTGACGCCTGAAGCTTTCAGAACCAACCCTGAGCACCAAGCGCGGACTTTTAAATCCGCTGTTGTATCCTCCACCACCGCCGCCTAGAATCATCACTGTCAATACTGTACGTGCAGGAAGGATTTATGTGGATGCTTGAAGCCCGTATTCGCTTCAAGGTAAAGGTTCGCAGAGTGTCAGTTTTAGGTGTAGCTAGAGCCATGAATCCTGCATGACTATCCCGACATGAAGACCTAGGCTGTCATGGTCGGGCCACTAAGGAGACTGAGCCAACAAGGTTCATGTTGTCGGGCTGTGTGCTATGGCCGATACTGACACACCATAGCTAGCGATGCTAGCTGCTAGCTAGTGCCGAGTTTAGGGTTTAGGGTAAGTACAGTCTTGTCATGGGTGTTATACCCAATGGTTTCTGCTGAAGGCACCACCTCGAGCACGACGACTACCAGCAGCACCACGGCTCCACAAATCATAGAGAACCTCACGTACAAGCCCAATTTGACTCGATTTTTTCTCGAACGCGTACACCCAGACTCCTCGTAGTCCTGCGAGACCCCAAAGCCCTAAAACCTCTACCTCAACCCCCCAAACCTAGACCCTTAAACTACAGTTTAGGGTTTAGGAGCCTTAAACCCACCAGCCCAAGCCCCTAAATTGGAAAGCACAAATCCCGAAGCCGTTTTTGTCACTCGAAGAGCACACCTTATACGACCACTTCTAGTAACCCTTGCAGTACCTTCTATAGGGTGCTGAACACCCTCAAAGCCCGAAGCTCTTTGGAACCCTTATGGAACCCTACACCCGAAACCTAAAAGCCTTACGAACGCTTCGCAACCTTTTATGGTAGCCTTACTAGGCTATCTTAGAGTACAGCTGGTACATAGGTTTTTAGATACCACTGTTATACTACATTATAGTAGCCCTTGCTTATGCCTTACCCTTCAACACCAAGCCCGTAGACCTTACCGCCCAACATCCTATAGGACCCTTGTATAAATCGTAACGGAATACATAATGCTAAGCATTGACGCCCAAAACCCCCGTACCTAGCATTCCTGAATATAACCAGACCGTTTTAGCAGCCCTCTTCGGAACCTCACTACCCAGGTACTTTGCCCTCGTGGTGCCGGCGATTCTGGGCGAGTGCCCCCTCGGTGCAGAACTGCGACAACACATCATCCGAGGTCTCCGGGACGTGGGTGTCGGGTATGTTACAGTGTTTCTGTAGGGCTGTAGGGTAGTACAACGGACTGGTAGAGTTTGCACAGGGTGTTATATGGGTTCCTAATGAGGAGTTCTTTGGTACGAGCTAGTTGTATTTGTGATGCTCGCAACATGCATTGCTTGAACTTGTTTGCATTCCTGCTATTCCATTGCTGTTCAACACCTATGACCGTTGAGCTCTTGTCGCACCCTTAGCTTGGAGTTTGATGCTTCGTGTCTGGTTTTGGTGCGGGTTGAGCTTCTACTAGCGTTTCGAAAAGATGTGGTTTTTTTATGAGGGTCACATGATTCGACAGGTCTTGCAGGGCTTTTCAAGGCCAAACGAATTACTCAAGACGGGTTTCGGTTTTCGCGATTGCGGTCAGGGTCATCCCGCTGCCAACCTGAAGCCAAGGTTTAAGATGCTTCGGATCTAATGTCGGAACCTGATTAAGAAACCCCGGCCCTATACCCCAATATATAAGGGCTCATATTAAGAACCCTAATAAAGGCCCAGGGTTTCTTAAATAGGTTCCTACACTACTTTTTCCGTCAACCCCCGGCGCCCCACACTTCCTAGGCAGGCCTTGAAGCTGTGAGCTGCCGAAGTCATAAACCTGAGCCCTACCCAGGGGCTCGAATCTAGTTGCCCGTAGGTAAGCTAAACCCTAAACCCTAAACCGTTAAAGCCTACTCAACTCCCGGAGCCAGAAACCTCCAACTCGAGAGCATGACACTTGCAGGACTGGTGCCTCGAGCCGAACCTTGGTGTTGGAGTACTGTACACCTTTTTGTTGTCTAGGCTGGTTTTTGGGACATTTTTCATTTTCCTGATTTGGGTTTATCAGGGGCCCTTCATATAAATATTATTCAGAGGGTTTAAAAACCACCGCAGGAAAGTCTTGGGCCCAAGAATGAAGTATCCTACAATGTAGGATCTGTAAAACTGCAGCTGGACCCTAAACCCTAAACAAACCCTACCAAAAAGCCCTAAATCCTAAACCCCACAAGGCCCTTTTGGGACTTCATCAGGCCTTGAACAGGAATCTGTATGAGCCCTTGTCAAAATCACCGAACCCCGCAACGTATTATAGCAGCTTTCTTGAATCCCTAAGCCCTATTGGGTCTAGGGCTTTTGGCTTAAAGCTGATGATCAGAGGCTTGGTTCAAAAAAGGGTTTAGGGCTGATTTCGACCTCGAACCACATACCTCGCCTGGAGTGTCCGAGTGTGAGTGCGAAACCCCAAAACCCTAAACCCCTAAACCCCTAAACCCTTAAACCCCTAATCCCTAAACCCCTAAACCCCTAAACCCTGAATCCTAAATCCTGAACCCTACACCCCAAACCCTAAACCCCTAAACCCCTAAACCCTAAACCTTAAACCCTAAATTCTAAATCCTAAACCCTACACCCCAAACCCTAAACCCTAAATCCTAAGCCCGAAAAAGCAAAACCTGTAAGCTCTCAGCTCTGCCTCGCCTAGGATGGTGCCGTAAGGGAAGTATTCCGACCACATGGCCAGAGAAGATCCCATTCGCACCTCAATGTCAGGATTACAGTTTAGGGTTTAGGGTTTAGGGTTTAGGGTTTAGCTTCCTAAAATCCTTTGTTTGAGGAATATACTGTAAAGGATCTTATAAATCATGTTGGGAATCGTGCTACAATGTACTCATAGGCCCTAAAGTAGCTCCATTTTGGGGCTCATATATAGAATCCTATGAGGTAATCCCCAAAAAGAACTACTATGGGGCCTATGGGTAATCCTAAGGGTGCATGTACCCAGAGAGTATATACTGTGGCCCCAAAGTATCTATATAGGGACTACTTTGAGGCCGAAGTATCTGCTATTTGCGTACATGGACTCTTTGGGTAACTGGTTCCCTGTTAGGGCTACATTAGAATGATCATTGTTAATCCTTGTTGGGTTTATATTATAACAAAAAGGTAACATTGTATCCAACAAGGACCTAGGTAAGGTATAGTCGTTAAGTAGGGGATTTTGCAAGGTCTGGGTAGGGTTTAGGGGGGAGCAGGGTTCAAGGTTTGGTGGACGTCTACGGTGTTTAAGGTTGTTTTTCAGAGTTTTAGGGTTTAGGGTTTACCTTACGAACCCAAAACCCACTTTTTTGTAGGTTCCTATTATAAACCCTAATATGGGATTTATAGGGACCCTACAAAAAAGTACGTTTTGTGTTCTTAAGGTAGGGTGTTTAAGGTTTAGGCTTTCGAGGTTTTTTGGGGTTCAGGGCTAAGGATTTCCGGGCAGTGCCGTTAAGCCATGCGCTTCGGAATGCAGGGCAGGTTGAAGCGACCATGCCCACATGATATACTATAATAAATACCCCTTCGTAGACTATAATGCTCTATGATATATCGTATACAAACTTGAATATACTGTACCATACGATAAGGGTCCTTACGACAGGTCCCCCGGAATCTTTTATCAGCATTAACTGCCAGCAGCGAGTTTGCCACCTCCTGGCGTTCACTGTCAGACGTCAGCATTGGGAAGCCAGCTTCCAGCAGCAAAGAGGCAACCTCCGAGTGACCACTTTCAACGGCGAGCATAAGGGCTCTCCTGCCGAAATACTCTGAGCGCTCTGTTGGAGCACCAGTGTGTAGCAGCAAATCTGCAACCTCCAAGTGACCATAGTGAGATGCCAGCATCAGAGCTGTCCAGCCGAAATCGTCTAAGCATTCTTTCTCAGCACCATCTTCCAGCAGCAAGCGCGCAACCTCAAAGTGACCCCATTCAGATGCCAGCATTAGAGCTGTTTTGCCACCACGTCCCTGGCGATCTATTTCAGAACCAGCTTCCAGTAGCAAACGTGCAACATCAATGTGACCATGAGCGGATGCAAGCGCCAGGGCTGTCTGGCGTGTGATAATGTCAATGTCCCAGCAGTCTGTACGACTACCAACTTCCAGCAGCAAACGGACAACCTCTGAGTGACCACTCTCAGATGCAAGCATGAGGGGGGTCTTTCCAATACGTCCTCGGCAGCTTGAATCAGCACCAGCTTGCAAAAGCAAACGTGCAATCTCCAAGTGACCATTGTAAGATGCCATCATCAGAGCTGTCCAGCCGTCATCGTCTGAGCACTCTTTCTCAGCACCAGCTTCCAACAGCAGGTGTACGACATCCAAGTAACCACCCTCGGATGCTATCATTAGTGCTGTCATGCCGTCCACCTCATCACGGATATCTTTCTCAACACCAGCGGCTAGCAAGCAACGGACCATTGTGTCACAGTTTCGTCGAGCAGCATCTAGCAGATCTGCTTCAGCTACAAGTGAAATGCTGTTTCCGTGGCTTGAAATGCCAGGGATGGCCAGCAACACCAGCTGCAAATCCATAGGCGCATCTAGTTCTGCACCGTCACCCAAGACATTCTCATCCTGCAATAGCTGCTGCAGATAGACTGGAAAACCACACAGTTTGCACAATTCCTCCTTCAAAGCCGCTGCATCCTTGAACTCCTCTGTACTGAAGGTGGCCAGTTCCTGCCCAGAAGTTCTCCAGACGCGAATCATTTGGGAGGACGATGGTCAGGGTTTAGGGTTTAGGGTTAACTGCATCATGTAATTCAAGTGCTGGCTAATCCACATATGGGTAGTTGTTAAAATTATGGTCCCTTTTGGGTACCCTAAATAATAGGTGCCGTATTATAATAAGGACCCAAAAAAGGACCATAATTTTGACAACCACCCATATGCTCCAAGGTCAGTATAGCCGCAGGATGCGGATGAGAGTTCCTCGAGCCGGGCTTTCCAAGACTCTTGAAACTTCCCAGTGACTCCAAAACCCCTAAATTAAGGAATATACCTTAAATCTTATTAGGGATCCTATTATAATTTAAGGTATATTCCTTAATAAAGGGGTTTTGGAGTCTCTAGGTTTCCTACCGGGAATCGCAACGCCTAGGCTGCACCGGGGGTGTCATTGCAGCTTCCATGTACCGTATGTGTCTACCCTGAGAAAACCTTCCGCCTGCTCTGGCGTGAGAGGGGTGTTGAGGCAACTCGCTATACAAGCATGGGTCTAAAGTGTTCTTATCAAATCCAAGACCCCCCCCGCCCCCCCCGCTAAACCAAACGGCAAACTAAACACACCATCCTCGTAAGCCTAAGCCCTAAACTCTAAACCCCGAAACCCTAAACCCTAAACCCCTAAACCCTAAACCCCTAAACCCCTAAACCCTAAGCCCTGAACCCTGCCGAAATAACCAGGGCCGAGATCGTCGAAGCATGAGGCTCCACATTGAAATATGAAACTCGTGGGTTGTGTCAGATATACCCCCCATAGGGGTTTAGGGGTTTAGGAGTTTAGGGTTTAGGGGTTTAGGGTCTAGGGTTTAGGGGTTGAGGGTTTAGGGTTAAGGGGTCCAACTGTCCCCAAAGAATAAGACTACTGACCTCCAACACTACAAGCTTTTTCTGACCGGAGTATGGCAATTGTTTATTGGGTCCTTCAAAACAGCCTAGACAGTTTAGTATCCAGACAATTCCTTTCCATCAAAGAAAGAAAGAAACAGAAAGCTACAAGCATAACAACCCAATAGGTAGCATAAAACGTGCAAAGGTCACACATGCTTACAGCACAGTTACACTAATAACAACCACAACAAGAGCTGACAGCGCGCAAAGAAATGGAGAACACCACCATTGGCAAAAAAAGAAACGCACAGCAAACCTTGAACACCCGATATATCGAAAAGACAGCAAAAAAAAAACAACATTATCAAGACAGTGGTCTCTGTCGACTGCCCTGAAACACCCTCGTTGCAGGGTGCCATTTCCCGAACACGACAGAAGCCACATGGACCCTGGAATCAGCCATGGAACAAGCCGGAATGACTCTAGTTTTTTTTGAGCAGATTCGAGTGATCTTTCAAAACCAACGATACCCCTGTCAAGAAGCTCCCTGTCCTAGTGACCCTAAACCCTAAACCCTAAACCCTAGACCCTAGACCCTAAACCCTAAACCCTAAACCCTAAACCCTAAACCCTAAACCCTAGACCCTAAACCCTAAAGCCTAAACCCAAAAGCCTGGTGCAAAATACTCGCTGGTGCAACATAGCGCATGCCTGGGCTGACTAAGGAGACTCTCTCCATGAAACCCTAGATGTAGGGATTGGGTTCAGGGTTTAGGGTTTAGGGTTTAGGATTTAGGGTTTAGGGTTTAGGGTTAAGCTCCACTCTCTAAGCATGAGGAAGTAGGGTTTAGGGTTTGGGGTTCAGGGTTCACAGTATCATGAAACCCTAAGCCCTGAACTTTAAGTCTTACTTCCCCAATAATCTAGGGAAATAAAAGGTTAAACTTTCAGATTACTACTAAATTATAAGAACCCGAAAAGTTTCAAGGTTGGGTATTGGGGAACTGAGTAGTAACCCGAAAACAGCTGAGTGTCACACGCCGAACTCGAGGACACTGGCAGAGAGCGGGAGGTGGAAAAGCAGGCGCTCGTAGTTTCCTAAGCTCTTCAGAAAAACACACTGGGCAAAGGTAGCCCCAAACCGCGGAACCCTAAACCCTAAACCTCTTAAGAGTTTTTGGGTTTATCGTGGGGTTCAGGATCTTGAGGCACAAGCTCTGAGGGTTCAGGGTTCTAGGGTTTACAGTTAGGATATATGGTTCAGGCTTGAGGGTTTAGTGTGCTAAGGGTTCGGGCTCTTAGGGTTTGCGTTTCGGGGGGTGCAGGGCTTTCGGGCTCTAGGGTACATCATCATAGGAGCCCAGAAACAAACAAAGTAATATAGGGGCCGTAATAATTAGAACAAGATTTTTGGGGTCCGGTATACTATATTTATAATAAGGAACCCCCAAATAATGTACGGAGTTATTTTTTATAATAAGGAACCCAAGAAATAATGTTGGGAATTCTTTAAGGCCCCTACAGTAGACAAGGTTGCCACTGAAGATCCGAGTTTCCGAGGTAGTCATGCCATCCGCTTGCCTGCCAGCATGAAGACGGTTTAGGGTTTAGGGTTTAGGGTTTACTAAACCCTAAACCCTAAACCCTAATGCCCCAAACCCTAAGCCCTCATAAACCCAGACCTTGAAGCACCAAAACGTAAGGGACTTTGGAATGTTTGGGCCCTAAGCCCAAAGGGTCCTAGGTACTGTTATGGGGGGATACACTCCCAAATCATAATCGTAATTCCAAAGATAGAAACCCGACATTCTACTACATAGACCTTAAACCCCAAAACCCTAATATAGAAACCCTACAACGCAAAAAAATATAGGTACTTAGGACCTAGACCCTAAACCCTTAACTTAAGACCCTTTGGGTAAGCCTCCAACTCCAGTGGAAAAGCCCAAGCAGACCTCGGGCCCGAATCCCTAAGCCCCAGTGTAAAGCTTAGGGTCTATAGGGTTTGGGGCTTTAGGGTTTTGGGGCTTGCGGGCTTAAGGTTTAAGGGTTTAGGGTGTACGTGGCATTACTCACTTGTTTGGTACGTTCTAAACGTAACAAAAAGTTGATGATTTGGTTCAAGGTGAACGACAATCCCTGAAACCCCAAGCCCGTGAATCAACCCCTCCCAACATCTGAATAAATAGCAATAGTGCCCTCTAACATCCCTGGATAATTCTACTGGAATTTATAACCCGGTACCCTATTCTAACTATATTAATCGTTACGCCGTTACGGCCCGCATACTGTAAGCCTAAACCCTACCTCCAGCCCCAAACCGTACAACAAAAAGAATGTTGTGACCCCCCTAAGTATAGGGTTTACCCCATAAAACAATGGGTTTTGGGATCCCCAATTAAACGCTAAACCCAAAGACAAACCTTCCCAAGAGGCCTTGTCGCCACTTCCAATCGCAGGAAGCTCGAAGAGTGCCTCACTCGGGAGTGCTCTAGTCTAAGGTCGGAAGTATGGGCCCCTAATATGGACCCTTAAGCCTTTCTAGGGACCCTGAAGGGTACATAGAGGGTATAAAAAGGTGTATAAGGATCCCAGGAATCCCAGGGTTAAGAGCCCATATTACCATACTTCCAACCTTAGATCTGGGGCGCTGAGGCTTTGTGGGGTTTAGGGGGCAGGGCGGTGAGGGTGAGGGTTTATAGGCTTTGGGGTGTTGGGCTCGCGAAAACCAAAATCAGGCTTGAAAGCGGGTCTCGGGTTCAGGAGATTTTAGGTCAAAGTTCGGGGATTAAGCCGGGTTTAGGATTTAGGGAAAGGACCAAACAACTGGAGATGGGTGCACATGGAAGGGAGCTGGAGGCAGCCAGAGCGGCTGGAACCCCATGTCGCGCTGCAGCAAACAGTCCCAAACCATCCCAAGTACCTATATGCGGGATACTGAACAACTCTGGCACTTCAAGGAACCCTAGGGGATACTTACCAAACCATGATCGTAATTCCTGTTACAAAAACCCTAATTATTTTGATTGTGTATAACCACAAGATTTAGGACGTTCATTGATAGTAATTCCTCTTACAAAATCCCTAGCCCTAAACCCTAAACCCTAAACCCTAAACCCTAATGTACATGCTCGTGGGCCTTTGGGAGTGGTGGAGCGAGAGCCAGGCAGACGAGGCCGATGAATGAGCCGGAGGAAAGGCAACAGGAGTTTAGTAGGTTTTAGGGGCTTAGAGGTTTAGGGCTTAGGGGTCTAGGGTTTAGGGGGTTTAGGGTTTACGGCTTGGGGCTTATGGGGTTTAGGGACAAAGCCCAACAACTCGCAGAAGGGTCGAAGGCAGAAGGGAAGGCAACCCGGAAGTGACCGCTCGGAGGTGGTTTAGGAGTTTAGGCCTAGAGACTCCAAAGCCCCTCAATTAAGGAATATACCTTAAATTATGGTAGGATCCCAAATATCATTTAAGATATATTCCGTAATTAAGGGGTTTTGGAGTCTCTGGAGGGTTTCGGGTTGAGCGCTGAGGGTTGGGGGGTGGAGGGGAGGGTGGGATCTTTGCGGCGCAGGCTTTTCCCCAAGGGCGCTAAGTACTGGTCTGGAGGAAAACATCCCACATCATGATAATAGTAATTCCGAGTATAGAAATCCTACATTCTACTACACAGAACCCTGTCGGTTTGGGGATTCAGACATCAGAACAGCATTTCAAGTATTGCGCTTATTACCATGGTTAACCATAGTTACTTCTTCTTACTGTCTTAGAGGAGTTAGATCCGTCAATCCCCCGACGCCCTGTAGAAACACCCAAAAAACCGCGGAGACATAAGGACAAGATGCCCCAATCTCGTCCAAGGACAGCTTGCAAGCCAGAAGCCCGGCGTCCTCCCATGCTCGAGGCTTCCCTGGGAGTTCTCTGTTACATGGGTTTTAGGGTTTTGGGCTTAGGGTTTGGGGTTTGAGGGTTTAGGGTTTAGGGTTTAGGAGCTCGATTGCCGGCTAAGTTAAGGGTGAAACCCTCGAGCTAAGTAGGGAGTCATAGGCTAAGATGTTGCAGAGAACTCGGCTCCCTGAACCCTACGCCATCCTCTTTAACCGTAGGGCTTGGCGCGTGAGGGCTCAGGGCTTGCGTTGGGACGGTTTGCCCAGGGCACTGTCAACTAA